GTATCTCTATGTAAATTAATTTACAGTTAAAATGGAAATGTAATAAATATAATTACTCATATAAATAAATTTAACAAGAAGGTACCTATTAGACAACCACAAAGAGGCACTGTCTTTCCATATGTGGAAAATATATATAACATTTTAAATTCTAAGTAAAAACATTTAAAAATTAAAGCTTCTATTTAATATTCTTGGATAGGATTTTCACATAATTAAATATTTTTGGATACACGTTTAAAATATGCAATATGTTTAAATTTTTTTATATATTATATATTTTTAATTTTCAATATTTTCACAAAACAATCATTTTGCAAGTTTATCCAAAAATATTAAATCATTTGAAACGCTTATCCAAAAGATATAACATTGAGGTCTAAGTTGTAGATAAAATGTATTAGTGTCTATTGTAAATTGAATCTTAACCTTAAACACTTACATTCTTATAGTAGTAATGTAAAAATGTGGAATGTTACTACTTATAATTTAATCTCATCTAATGGTTGATGTGGATCTTAAATGATCGAAAAAAAACTTGTGTGGGGAAAGCACTGTTAGGTCCACTGTGGATAGTGAAATAAACGTCACTTCTAGATAAATAAAAAAGGTCTTGCAGCTGCTTCTTCATTACTGCTCATGTTATGTGTCTAGAACTGGTTCTCTGATTGATGCACCCATCCTTATGCTCCAGGTGAAATGCCGAGTGTCAGATTCCTCACTGGATTTTATGTTCGATGTGAAGGTACATGTGAAGTTAAATGAGTATTCTGTTAAAAGAATAATTCCCATAACAAGACAAAACTATACTTCACAAGTATCCATATAATGACCTTTTTGTGGTATCAAGGCAACGTCATATAGATTATGACCCTGACATTATCATCCTTTTGGAATATCTTTACGGTTCTTTTAGAATACAAGAATGACCAGCTAACATCTTTGTTAGTCATGAACTTGAGATTTCTAATTTAGCATATTGTCGTCCTTCAGTTCTCCTGCGAGTTTAATTCACAATTCGCTAACCTTTATATTGTGGCATTTCCAGTTTATTTATAGCTGTACGAATAAAGGAATTATGTTGAATTTATAAAAGTAACTCATAAGCCAACTTCATATGATCATAGGATATGCATGTTCATAAATTTGCAGAACTGAAATGTTAAACTATTACTATTTTATTTAACTATGCAGATATGGCAGAAATGCAAAGCTTTTGCTATTTGTGAATCGACCTGTGAAATTCTAAAATGTTTTCTAGGGAGCTGAGACATAAGAGACATAAGACATAAGATATAGCTTACCGTAGTTTAAGTGCTACAGTGAATGGTAAGCAGCAAAAATGCTGCAACCAATGCTACTAGTTAATATTTATTTATGAAAGATATCAAGTATAATTCAACCCAACGACTAGATATTACAAATCAACACCTTAAAATGCAAGGAATGAGTACCATTCAATGACTATATAAACAAAGACTATCTGTTAAATATAATATGTGAGAGTACAAGAACGAGAAAATAATATCCATTTAAAAATAAGTAGTTTATAATATAAAGAACATAAAACAATGTTATATTCATTGTGCTTCTATTGCAATCATGCAAAACATATTATGAAGACATCCTTGTTTCTAAGCAACATAGGCCGTTATTAGTTTATCCTTTATCAGGTGGAGTGATCTTGTAATTGTTCCAACTTATTGTTAAAACACAAAGTTTGGTAAAACACCTTCCATAGCAGGGGTAGGCAACGTTTGGCACTCCAGATATTGTGGACTCTATTTCCCCTGATGCTATAAAATGCATGATCAAGACCAAACCAATATATATATATAGGAAATGTTCAACCTCCTACCTGCAGACCACCAAAGTGTAGGCCAATAATCTTCTGTACTTCCATATATGCCCTCTGCCAACTAACCTCCCTTCCACTCTGTTTCCCTTTTCTTTTCATAAACGCCTTTGAGGCACAGGGGAGGATTTATGTTATAAATGAAAATTTGTAATTTGCTATGATTCTTGAATACATTACACATTATAGCACTTAGATATAATATTTAATTTTAATTACACATCTAAACAAATAGTGCTTTTCACTGCATCTCCTGTGACCCGACAGAAAGATAGACAGATAGACAGACAGACATACATAGACAATGTCATCTGACTCATAGTATATCCATAAGATTCATTTTTTTTTTTAATTTATGAATAGTTTTTCCTTTTTTAAAAAGGCCCCTGGATTCAACCAGGATATGCAACTGACTGTTTATCTATATGTTTACATTATTGTTCTTCTGTACCTTAGTGTACTCTATAGCCATCATTGTAATATGTTATCTTACCTAATTATATGTAGGATTAGAATTCTTTAGTGGTTGAAATAGAGAATATTGGTGTAGTTTCATGTATTTTCATTTCTAATACAACGAAAATGAGTATTAGTGATGAAGCTTCCAAAATTGGACTCTAACTAACCCATGGCATTTATGGAAATCTAAAGGTACAAATATACTTTTTTTTTCCAGAGTCACGTTCTATAGTAATGCAGTAAGTCTTCCTTCCAATAAACTCATTTTTATTTTATATTTTAGGATGAATAACATGTTTCAGTTTGAAATTCCGCTGTGTTCCAGGGATACTTAAACTGTAAATACTATACACACACATTGAAATGAGTGCTATTAGGCAGTCAGGCAGAGTGAAATATCTGCTTTGCACAGACACTGACAGTGGTCTCCGCATGAGCAAGCAATTCACTGGCAGTTGTTCTGGTGGGGAACGTGTAGGGTAGAAGCAACGCCAAGAGTTTTATAATAAGACAGGAGATTAACTAGCAGGTGATGTCTTGGCCAGTGAGGATTTAGACAAATATAATCCTTGCTTTGTTGGAGATAGTTTAAATGTTTAATCTCTACAAAAAAAAAAAGATGTGTGGAACTGCAAGTATTATAAACCGTACATGTTGGGATCAGGATTCTAATGTCCGTTAGTGAAATGTTAATAATTTATAACTTATAAACATTGGTGATGATAAACATTAGTTTTTATCAGAGAAGATCCTGGTAATATTAATGACAGAACAGTAAATATTACATTCTGAAAAAAATATTATAAAAACAAAAAATAATCACCATAGGTTGTAATAATAGATCAGTAAACATTCAGTCGGGAGATTGAAATTAGAAATAATTTGCCTTACAGTTAAAGGACCACTCTAGGCACCCAGACCACTTCAGCTTAATGAAGTGGTCTGGGTGCCAGGTCCAGCTAGGGTTAACCCATTTTTTCATAAACATAGCAGTTTCAGAGAAACTGCTATGTTTATGAATGGGTTAAGCCTTCCCCCATTCCCTCTAGTGGCTGTCTCATTGACAGCCACTAGAGGCGCTTGCGTGCTTCTCACTGTGATTTTCACAGTGAGAGCACGCCAGCGTCCATAGGAAAGCATTGATAATGCTTTCCTATGCGACCGGCTGAATGCGCACGCAGCTCTTGCCGCACATGCGCATTCAGCCAACGGGGAGGAGAAGAGGAGGAGAGAGGAGGAGAGCTCCCCGCCCAGCGCTGGAAAAAGGTAAGTTTTAACCCCTTTCCCCCTTCCAGAGCCGGGCGGGAGGGGGACGCTGAGGGTGGGGGCACCCTCAGGGCACTATAGTGCCAGGAAAACGAGTATGTTTTCCTGGCACTATAGTGGTCCTTTAACTGTATGGAATCTTTTAATTCCCTTACAATTTTATTAGTATACATTTCAGCATTCAATGAGTGTGTTTAAAGAGACCTTATAGCATTAGCAATACAATAATGCATTCTTAATGCTACAGTGCCCTAGTAACCATTTAGGTGACCATGCCCTCTCCTTATTCTGTTTCCCATGCCACATTGCTCTCTCAATGACTGGTCCCACATCCTTGGCTGCGATCATCAAGATCGATGACCTCAGGCAATCCAACTGCAATATTTTCTGCTGCAGAGTTAAAACATGGCACCCAGACCACTTCATTAACATGAATATAGTATTCCTTTAAATTGTACTTGTCATAGTAGACACAATGCTGATAGAATCACAATGTGCAAACACACACATACACACATGCCAGAAAACGTATTTAAAAATCTATTTAAAAATATGCCTCCTCTTCCACCTGTCAATTAGTTGTTTTTTAGATGGAATAGAAGTCTATCCCAACAACTGAGTGACAGACCACAGTAGTGTTCTGTCACAGATATTCCCCAGCAAGCATCTTTTGTGATTCACCCCATGAATGCTGATGGCAGCCCTGAGGGCAATATAAGACAGTAACTTTATATGATATTTATGTTGCTGTTATTAAAAGTGAAGTGACCTTTGGGGTTTAAACACCATTTGATTGCCAATCATAAACAGTGAACTGATTTGTCAACCAGTTGCAGAAATGCAATACAGGTGCTATATGCCATGAGGATAATTAACTAAACCTGAACGCTTTTCTTATCCAACTCTGCTATCTTGGTATACAGTTTGCAAAACATTTTTTTTTTGTAAAACCACACCTGTCTGTAGAACAGGGGTATGTAACATTCCCATCTATATAACAATTTCAACTAATTAAAGTTGCTACAGGAGTTGTTGGGCCCATAAAAGTTGGTACCCTTGCCCACATCACTGCTGCCCCTTCACTACCTTGTTCTTCCTGGATGTTGATGCAATTAGCCTATCACTGGCCACTCATAAAAAAGCCTTCCTCATACTGCAGCAACCAGGGGAAGGAAAGAAGTTTGAAGGTAGTGATTTTGGATACCAGCGAGTCAACTTTGGGTTTGAACCTCTGGAAAATGGTTTAGGGAAGAAGTTTTCCTTTTAAGAGAGAAAAGCTGTAGAACTGATATTTTATTTTACTGTGTATTAGAAACAGATGACACCAGTGTGCAATAGTGATGTCGTGAACCGTTCGCGAACTTCCCGCGAACGGCTCGCCATGGTTCGCCACGAACCGTTCGCGGCGAGCTCCGGTCAGCTGACACATTCCGGCCAATCTCCAGCAGACCCTCCCTCCCAGACCCTCCCACCTCCTGGACAGCATCCATGTTGAAGGCAGCTTCAACATGGATGCTGTCCAGGAGGTGGGAGGGTCTGGGAGGGAGGGTCTGCTGGAGATTGGCCGGAATGTGTCAGCTGACCGGAGCTCACCGCGAACGGTTCGTGGCGAACCATTCGCGGGAAGTTCGCGAACGGTTCGCGACATCACTAATGTGCAGCTCAGAAAAAAAAAAGTACTGAATAATATTTCATAATTTCTTGAATTTGTATTGAAGCAGGCAATTGATATGAATTGATCACATAACAGTTTTCATGCTGATAGCATATGCTGTAGTTTAGATGTAAATGACCTTTTTAAATTACTTTGTTTCTTTTCTTGTCATCTACATATTCACATACTGTGGAAGGTGTTTCTTATATTTGTTTTGCCCGTAGTGAATGAAATGGCTCTTTTAATAGACTCTGTTTTAAGGTGTTAGTAGAAATCTAATATAAGGGAAAAAAAACACTGCTGGCCTGCGGCGCTTAACTAATTGAAAAACAAATAATTGTGTACCACTGACGAAATTAAAAAAATACTAGATGGATATCATTAAATTATATTTATCATCCTTTGAAGTATACTATGCAAATTATTAATGATAAAATGTGTAACATTATCAATATAATAAACATATATTTTGAAAAACCAATATAATGATGTGAGCAGCTTTATCATGCTTAATTAGGTTTGATAATTGATTTGCATGGTTGCATGGTCGCATAATATCCACTGAATTCAAAGAAGACAATTTCCACTTCTTTCTTTGCATAAAAAAAAAAAAAAGAGTAATTTCTTGTTGAAGAATAGCATAAAACTCACTACCAGTTTACCAATCAAAGATAACGTAAGATAGTTGTAAAGGCATTTTTCCCACTGATTATTAGATCTAAAGTAGATGTACCATGTTTGAAATTATCCATAACATAGAACATGAATTAAAAAAATTGTAATTTATAAAACATTGCGTGCAATTCAAAGCAAGGCAAACAATGAAAAAAAATGCTGGTAATCTACACTTTGCTTCTTATTGACATCAGCTTTGAGTGCCTGATGTCCTAAACCAGGAGTAGGCAACTTTCAGCTCTCCAGATGTTATGGAAGATATCTCCTCTGATGCTGTGCCAGCATTATGGCTATAACAGCACTATGGGAAATGTAGTCCACAACATCTGAAGTGCTGAAGGTTGCCTACCCCTGTCCTACTCAATAATCTCAATAATGCCTATATGTCTTATTTTCACATGAACACAAAGGTTTGTGAAAGATCCTGTAGACAGCTACTACCTCTCTGGACTTTCCATAGTTCAACATTTTGTATTTTGACTCAAAACACACTGATGGTAGTATGATCGTGGTAACGCATTTACAGCATCCATTTCTGCCAGAAATTATGAAGAGTATAAATATCTGTAGATAAGTAGACACAACACTTCATGTCATCTTACAGATCACAGAATAATAATGTAGTTTAGTTTGGTCTTTTTATTAGGAGTTTGTGTTACTTTGTCTACCTACTATGTATGTATGATTTCAATGTTTTTTTATTAGCTGCTTGGAATAGGCCATCTGTACACATTTCCCACTCTATTTTGGGATGTGTCTGTTTTTTTTCCTTCTCTAACTTTCAAGTCTGAAAAACATACCAAAAAGGATTACCAGTTATAAGAACACTAGTCAAAAATGTTAGTAGCCCACTAACATTATTCATTGAAAAACATGATTTTCCTATAAAATTTCTCCTATAACCTTTCCGACTCTCCTCGAGACCAGAACTGCTAACAGCCAAATATATAATATAAATACCATGCATTTATATGTTAATACATAGATTTTATGGTCTCAATTTAACAAGCTTTCCAAATTATTCAATAAGACTAGAATTTTTTTTTTCAAATTATTTATCTACAAATATTCGCATAGTCTTTAATGGCGACTTCTGCAGATAAGTTATTTGGAAAGTTTTTTTGAAGAGTATTGACTCAATTGGACAGCTTATTAAGCCAAGGTCTAAATTAGCAGTAAGGCAGATAGATATAATTGTTTACGAGCTTAGATATATTCAATAAGAAGTGAAACAAGTACTTGAACTGAATATTTTCATTTGCAAACAATAATTTAATCTGCATATTTGACAGTAATTTGTAATACATAAACCGTATCCCAGCGCCTGACCCAAATGACACTAATTCAAATTCTGAATTGGATCAAGGACATAGAAAAATACACAAGTACTCAACATTCCTACTCTTATAGATGGCAATACACATGGCATCCATTGACAAAGCTAAACTGCATTCATGTGCTACAAAGGATGCTAAGCTAAGGCGCTTTATAATGTAAATGTGTTTCTGAACATAGAACATCAAAATCAGTATTGAATTTCATTCCATGAAGTGGCATAATTATTGCAGAAATTACAGCTGCATTATCAAATGAGTTAATTTAAAAAAAAAAGAAGCTTAGGTAAAATTTTCAGCTTTTCTTTACTTTTTGTTTTTTTGTTCTCTTTTGAACGAAAGAAAAGTAAATTTTTTCCATCCTATACTGATTTATCTTATGTCTTCTTTTATACCTTCTTTTATACCTAAATGTATAGATTAATGTATACATTTAAACAAAATTATTTATATTAAAAACAAGCCTACAACGAATTTCATCTTGCACCAATTAAACATCATAAAATAATAAAAAGCCAAAACAAAACACAAAACTGATACACGCAGAGAGACATACAAAATTCATAAGAAGTTTAGACCGTTTTCTTTTTCAAGTTCTCGGATACGATTGTTTTCTAATATTAAGTATTTAACCCTTTGGTGCTCTAGTGCACATATCATTCATAATTCCACTGCTACCAACTGTAATGGACATTTCTACATTAGTACTCTTCAGAGGTTCTTCCTTTATATTTGGTGGGTTCTAGTTTTTTCTGTCCAGTAGAGGCTCTGCAGTGCTTCTGCTCAAACATAAATGTTTGATCTGATCAAACATTCAGATCAAACATATATCCCTCGGAGACTAATCTATAACAATTCCTGGTTCAGCAAGATCTCTTGGAATCCAGTGAAAACTATGCATATCAGCAACTTAAAGATCATCATGCTCTGAGGAAATCTATCTGTCAGGAGTTAATTGCCAAAACAAAATCACAACATCTAAAAAAATGGTAAAAAAAACTGTCTTTAAAAATATATAATTTCATATTGATGCATATTTGGTACTGTAAATAAATTTCCACAAATATGCATTGACTGCCTTTGGAAACAAACCACCATTAAATAAATGGGTATAGGGAGCTGAACAGAGATCATTTTTGATGGGGAGCAGGGGCACAGATTCCCTCAGTTATGATATTATTGTTGGATTTAAGTTGGATGTTTGGATCCTTGATCTAATGTGTAAGTGTTAGACCACCCTGGATTTTAACTAAAAAAATATATAATATAGTAATTGACAAATAGATATAGGCCTTTATCTCTTCTCAATTGCAGTCTTAAACTCTTTGCCAAGATCCTAGTAGCCAGATTGAAAACAACCGCCCCTTGTGGACCCAGGACAGGTAAGCTTCATCACCAACAGGGAAGTGAGGGACAACACCCTCAGAACCCTGGCCCAGATAAACCAAGACAATGCACCAATCTATGGATGCGAAGTAGGCCTTCAGGGGGGTTATTTGGGAATTTATGTTTGCTGCCTTGCGAGGGCTTTGACTGGGCCTACACATGCATGGCTGGATCCAGGCTTTTTACACCACCCCCTCAGCCAGGGTCTGCATAAATGGAGCCTATACAGACCCATTTCCAATTCACAATGGAAATAGTCAGGGCTGTCCCATGTCACCACTGCTCTTTGTCCTTGCACTTAAACCCTTTAAGGTGGGACTAAACCAATGCATACGCCAAAGATCTACTGTTCACGTTCTCCGAAACAACTTTGCAAAAAGTTATGTAATAATTTCCAACATACCCTCAAACATAAAAATTAGCTACTCTAAATTCACAATATTAAATGTGAACTCACTGCAGGTATGGGCCCTCCCCATTTGTCAAAACTTTTCATGCAGTGTAGCAACTCCGCTATTAAATATTTAGTGATGTAGCTCACAAAAGATTTGACCCAACAACTGTACCAACAAAATGTCTTACTGATGCTGACTGCCTTCCAAAAAATCTTTAGGAAATGGACATGGCCATACTTCACCAAAATTAACATCTTACCAAAAATCCCATATCTCTTTTAGTTCTTGCCAATCATTATACCACCGGCTTTTTTCACGTCCCTACCATCATCTTTTATTAAATAAAACTGGAGAGTCAAGAGGCCTAGATCAAAAATCTCACAAATGACGTAAAAAAAGTCCTGGGGGGAGTGGGGATGGAAGGGACAGTTTGGCCATCTTAGACCTTAAACTTTATTATTTCATTATCCACGTACTAAAGGGTGGATGAATGGGTGAAACAAGAGGTTCAGAAACATTGGATATTGAAGCTAATCAGGTGGACAGATCCTTCTTTGCCTTACTATAGATGCCTCCACAAAGCAGCAGGCTCCTATTCTCCCAACACCAATTCATTAAGGCAACGATGACCATTTGGCACTCCCACGCACTCACATAGGGCCACTCATCATTCCATTCCCCTTTCCACCCTCTGGTACATAACCAAGATGTCTGGTCAGGCACTGAACTGGAAGCATTGAAATGCCTCCTTCCCCAAGCACTTTATGAGACCCTTGAAATGATACAGACACAGGTTCTGTTAACATTTATGGCCAGGTGTTGTTATTCCCAACTCTTCCCAATTATACAAATACAGGGAGTGCAGAATTATTAGGCAAATTAGTATTTTGACCACATCATCCTCTTTATGCATGTTGTCTTACTCCAAGCTGTATAGGCTCGAAAGCCTACTACCAATTAAGCATATTAGGTGATGTGCATCTCTGTAATGAGAAGGGGTGTGGTCTAATGACATCAACACCCTATATCAGGTGTGCATAATTATTAGGCAACTTCCTTTCCTTTGGCAAAATGGGTCAAAAGAAGGACTTGACAGGCTCAGAAAAGTCAAAAATAGTGAGATATCTTGCAGAGG